CATCCGCGGCTGTACCTGTGTTGCAATGCCCTTGGTGATTTGAAGAGAACTGAGAGAGGCCATCCCTTGCACAAAGCGATGAAGGAGACGGCCTAAGCTCGTACTAACTTCGTATAACATCCGACACAAATTGCTTGGACGACAGCCCAAGCCTATGCGACCATGTCGAAAACAACGAATGATTTGCGTCCAAGTGCATCCACGGCTGTACCTGTGTTGCAATGCCCTATCCAAGGAAAAGTGAGTGATTTCCGTACGACCACGGGACGTCACATGGAGAAACCGGTGAATGAGACCATACAATATTGGGCACAAGTTGCTTGGACAAGGTGCCTGCCGCGGATGCACTTTAACGCAGGTACAGCCAAACTCGGGGAAACGTACGTCAGTGATTTCCGTACGATCAAGGGACCTTAGATGGAGAAGCTGGTGAAGGAGACTAGATAATATTGAGCACGAATTGCTTGGACAAGGTGCCTGCCAAACGTGAGCGACCACATCCACAACAATCGGCACTTCGCGGTGAAGAGCGTCCCCTGCTGTACCTCAGCTGCAATGCCCTATCCAAGGAAAAAATTGAGCGATTTCCGTACGATCAGGGATTTTTGAATCAAGAAAGCGGTGGCGGAGAAGATATGACATTGGCCACAAAGTTGCTTGGAGGAAGGGACAAAGTGAAGAGCCCAAACGTGGGCGATTGTGTCCACACAAGTCGCGGATTTGCATTGAAGTGTGTCCCTGGTTGTAGTAGTGTTTAAGATGTCAATCCCCTGTCTAAGTAAGACTGCGCAATGCCTGTTTCCATACAATCCCCTGTCTAAGTAAGACTGCGCAATGCCTGTTGCCATACCACTGACTGCGATGCATTTAATGTCCACACCAGTCGCAGATTTACGTCGAAGTGTGCCCCTTGTTGTGGCTTTGTTTCTAAGGAAAAATGGGCAATGCCCGTTTTCACATCACCGACTGAGATGGATTCAACTGCCCCATAGAGAACGGAAAGAACATCTCAGTCGGTAATGTGAAAACGGCAGAATGACTATATGCTAGAGATACAAAAGTAAGACGACTACGTTGAAAAAAAAAAGAAAAGACGAAAATACAAAGAGTTATAAAAAACAAGAAGACGACTACTCTCTCAGAATGACATCATGGGTTGTTTTGTGATAAGGGGATCAGTATCATTCGATGGTGGTGGACCGGCAAAGGTACCAAAACTGCGTTTCAGACTACAAACTTTCAATCCACCTTTCCATGCTCCTAGACACGCGTACCTGCGCGCGATTTCGACACAGGTACCTGCATGACTTCAGTACTGACATGACATCTGTGCACACAGACAAATAAGAACCGGAGACTTGCCCTTACATCAACCAAACGACAGATGCTTGCGATCGTGCTCGTCTCTTTTTGTTTTGCTTTTTCTGAGATATCGTGACCTTCCTCATTTGCACACATATGTATGTGAGCATTGGAAAAAAAAAAACATATCCACTCCTCCCCCTACGTTCAATGAACTTGATCAAGAGCGACCTCTGGTCGCAAACGTGAATGAATCCGCACGAAGTCCTTCTTCGCTTAGAGACTTCTAAGCGAATGAATCCGTACGAATACATTGGGTTGTAACAAGAGGGTTATCAGCGGGAAACCAAAAAGAAGAAAGTCCGCTCGAGGACTATCTGATGCGCAAATGCATCAGTGAATAACCTAGGGCTTGCTGTCAACAGCCGCTGGCATAGGCGCATGCACTCTGCTATCACACTGCAGCAGTGGATTCTTTGAATCCACACAAGCAGTGCAGGGAGGGATATTAAAACTGCCCCTCCATAAGCTCACAGGCAGTAAACTTTGAAACACTTGCGATTCTTAGAACATTAGCACACCGCTGCACATTTAAGGACAACATACAAATCGAAAATGCTACATAACAACCCACCTTCACCCACCTTCACCCACCCTCACCCACCCACAAGCGCACGCATGGAGCCGCCACACGCCCACACATGAGCGCACCCATCCATGCATGCACACGGCCACACCCACACCCGAACACACASASASAGAGAGAGAGAGAGAGAGAGAGAGAGAGAGAGAGAGAGAGAGAGAGAGAGAGAGAGAGAGAGAGAGAGAGWAGRAAGGTTACCAGCACTGAAAACTGRAGGCMAGCGMWGKATSRYAATAACCGTGGGGATTGGGTCTTGTCTGATACACACAGTTTTGAAAATCGGTGCAAATCAATCGCATCATGTCAGCAAGCCCCCAACGACTACCGGCGTCTCCCGAATAAAACGTACAGTCATTGTCGTTTGGGAATCACTCGGAACAATACAGAGAAGAATAGCAGGGCCCCTGTGCATCGATGACACACATACATCGAGAAATGGACCCAAAAAGAAACAAAGGACCGTACAGTCGATGTCAGTCATTACAGGCGTACTTGGGGGAACTTTCAGTCCAGCTACAGAGCGATTATGACCGGGTATTCTTCTATTTGGGGGGAAAAGGCAGTCGCCGGTCGGTGCTGCTTTCTACCACGTATCCTACTACGACTAACCTAAGGAAAAAAATTGAGCAAGAGCATGGACCAAGTGCTTGAGCAAGATCATGGACCAACTGGACAAGAGGATGGACCAAGTGCTTGAGCAAAGCATGGACCCAACTGGACAAGAGGATGGACCAAGTGCTTGAGCAAGAGCATGGACCAAGCACTAGACCACGACATGGAACCAAGAGCTAGACCGCGAGACGACAGCATGGACCAGGCGCTAGACAGAGGATGCACCTGGTCCATGTTTGATCTTCTGGTCCAGACGATCAAACGAAAGTATGACCAGAGGATGTTCCAGGACCAACACATGCGGTTAACCAGGGGTGTTATTTTCGTCGAATTCTGCACCGAAACTGTCACATTGTGCTGATTTTATGCTTTATTTCCTTGTTTTCCTGTTCGTCTGACGTATATGTGCTTTAGGGTACGTCATGTGTCCATCAATAATGAAAAAGTAGGCATTTCGTTAAATCTGTTGGACGCTTCATTTTAAATCGGACTGTGTTTTTGAGTTAGGGTTTTATAGTGTTTTTTTTTTTCCTGTTTTCTTTAGCCTGTTTCTTTTTTTGATGTGTGCACTACGGGCCCATATCATTTTTTAAAATAAATTAAATAATTTTGGATGAATTTCACACCAAAATTGCTGGCGAATGAACCCAAGCTTAACAGTCGACATATACCGTTGGGACCACGACAACAATATTCGTCTGGTCCTGGTGCTGGGCTGATACTGTGGACAACAAGGGGTGACTGCGGTGCTGGGCCAGCGATTCTACCCTCCTAACGAGAAATGGGCAGACCGACACGGAAGGTACGTAAGTAGACAGGAAAACGGGACTACAGTCTTCCCCCAAACATAACACACCCTGATAATAAATGCATACAACCTATCTTTGCGGTTTGGTACAGCCATGCAGGGCGTGCAATGTGTTTGGGGGAAAACGGGACTAGCCATACTTCAGCAAGCGCGTTCCGACTGTCCCAGTTTCCAGCCAGCAGGAAGTACCGTGGTCCCGAGGTATGCACGGTTCCAAGGTTCCAACAGAAGCTACTATGTCCCTCCCACGTCCTCAAGGTTCGGAGTACCAAGATCCCAACAGAAGGTACTAAGTTTCAGCGTACGGAGATTCTAGATTCAAGGTTCCAAAAGCACCAAGGTCCCAGAGGTACCAAGTACTAAGATTCTAGATTCAAGGTTCCAAAGGTACCAAGGTTCCAAAGGTACCAAGGTTCCAAGGTACTAAGTTCAAAGGCACAGCAGGATTCTCGATACTAAGTTGAAAGGTACTATAGTGTTCCAGGGAACCAAGATTCCAGGATTCCAGGGTTCCAGAATTCCAGCAGAAGGTGGCAAATTGCTTTTTTTTTTTTTTTCTGTGTTCTTGGGACCGTAAAGAAAAAGAAACCTGATGTGAAAAATATACAACGATCCAGCAGCCTATCTCAGTTGGTAAGGCACGCAAGTGGCATTCAGGAGGTCTTGGGTTCAATCCCCATTGGCCTCATGTACCTTCCTGGGCAAG